TTGAGTAGATTAGCTTCCTCTGCACGTACTAGTGTACGTGAAGGTTCGCAGCACCCCAAACGAAGGGTGCCCCGTTAAATTTAGGGTGTGTGCGTCGGACTACTTCACGAACACGTACGTGCAGAGGAGATTGCAAAACGGAGTAAGAGTACCCAGTAAGGTGAAAGAATAGAGCCTTATTTTTTTAGTATACTTAATCTTTTTAATGAATCCTAACTTAACTTTATTTAACTATGTCTAATTGCAACCATGTATTGTGACTTTCTGTCCACCACTCATTGCGTGCTTCTGTTGTGGCTAGATTGGCTGATCTTGTTCCTATATCAATCAATGATCAGTGTGTTACATCTGCGAAGCAATGTTATCGATTGGGATAATATTATGAGAAATTTTTTTTTGCCCTAACATAGTATTCATACTTGGTAATCACCTTACACTCCGCGCCAGGTAATATCGTACACCTGTACTTTTATCCACTGCTCACTCAGTTTTACGAGTTAGCGGGTGCTCATTAGATACACTCCGCGCCAAGCAATATCGTACGCCTGTACTTTTATCCACTGCTCAGTCATTTATACAAATTAGCGGGTGCTATTTGGATATGTGGTGTAATTTCTTAATGACAACACCCTATGTGTGTTTACGATTGCGATTTCGCAAAGCGTAAGGGGCCTCACATACAAATGATTGGTTTTGCCACTGCGACATCTAGAATCGTCCAAACGGCATACAAATTTTGAGTATAAAATGAACAATTTAAGACACTGTATTTAATAGTGGGTTTTATCGCCCTTATTCTCGATGACCTCAATGCATCGTTGCGGCATTGAGCGAACAAGCGACACAAGTGTGGCATCCAAAGTTGCATTCCAAGCTGCAATTAGTGCAGCCTTTAGCTCAGACACGCGCTCGAACTGTGCTCCATTGGCGTACACTTGCCTGCTAAGGATAGACTACAAATTCTCGATGGGGTTGAGATCAGGTGACTTTGATGGCCAGTCAATCACCTGAATACCCTCTTCACTGAATAATTCGCGGCTACGGTGTGAAACATGCATGCTTGCGTTGTCCTGTTGAAAAATAAAATCTGTTCCATAGTTCAGATGCGCAAATGGTAGAAGATATCCAGACACTGTATAAACAAAGTGATCCGAATCCTGCCTCCTCGTCAGCACAACAAGTGGAGACTTGCCACGGGCGCTAAAAGCGGCCCAAACCATGATGGAACCACCTCCAGCTTGTCGTCGCTTCGTCTGGCGGACGGACTGGCGCACATCTCTACAGTAGTGCTAAAAGCCGTCGGGCCCGTCAAGTTTCCCATTTTTTCTCGTCCGAGAAAATAATGGAGTCCCAGACGGAACCGGAAATCTTATGCAACAGCACACGTTTGGCCCAGGATTTGCGTGCACCCATGTCCGCGACCGTGAGCGGCAACATGTTTCCATCTTGGCGTACACAAGCTAATCGACATCGGCCAAAATGTGCTGCACGGTGCGGACGAACACCGGCAGGCTTAGCTCGACCCTGAGATGGGCTGCGGACAGGTTTCCCTGAGAAGAGGTGCGCAAGAGAAGTCGCAAGCGGCTCTTCGAGAGAAGCGGAGCGGGTCCTCGGCATTTCATCTGTAGGGGAGAGGTAGGGGATACTACTCGACGTACAGTGTTAAGGCTCCTTGAGATGACAGTCTTGATGGCGCGCGAACTCAGTCTAGCCTATCGAAGCCCCACTATCCTTCCCCGCTCGTGGTCGGTAAGTCTTGGCTTCTTGTTGCCATTCCCGTCAATATGAGTCGCTAATATCGTGTCGCCAAATGCTTGTGCCGCTAATATCAAGCCAGTGATACAATCGTACTGATAGATTATAATTAAAATTTGTATGCCATTTTGTACGATTTTATATGTCGCAGTGGCAAAACCAGTCATTTGTATGTGAGGCCCCTTACGCTTTGCGAAATCGCAATCGTTAACACACATAGGGTGTAGCGGGGCACCCTTAAGCTTGTACTGATGACAGTACAAGCTACTTATTCTGATGACAGAATGAGGCGGTGCCGCGTAACTTCACGTACACTCGTACGTGCAGAGGAAGAAGGTAAGAAGAAGCGAGTACTTGGTTAAAGTAAAAAGTAGAACTGTATTTAGTATAGTTAATGTCTGCAATAAATCACTATTTATCTTCATCTAACTATGTCTGAATACAAACGTGTATATCAACTATCTGCTCACCACTCGTTGCGTGCGTCTGTCGTGGCGCGTCTTCGTTGGTTGATATATTGGCCTACATCAACCAATTAGTAACTACTCGTAAGTGCTACAGAATATTTGTCCTTATGACAATATTCTGAGAATATAACTCTTATAGTTACATTCTATTAACAATTTCTTATAAATTGTTATGTAACGATTCCATCCGTTACAATATTGTGTCGTCAATTGTAGGCTGTTCATGGCTATTGTCTCGCTGTATGCGCTTGCACGGGAGGCCCTACACATCTGACGATGTATGGCAATTTGGCCGTTACACTAGCAAAGTCTCGACCTCAGGTAAAGATGATATTGGTCGGAGCTGCGAGTTCTTTGACAGCTGCATTCCGAGTTGCTGTATCCAGTTACAAGAAGCTCTTACCCCTGCAATGACGAAGACAACAGACAGGATCTTGATTTGCATCACACATCACACTGCTCAGCGGAAAACGTCAACATGACACGATACGTACTAAGAATGTCTGGAGGATGCACTGATCTCATGCTGCTGCCTCGTACACAGCACCAATGACCAACGCCACAAGCTATCGAGATGACCGAAACCTTTGCTTATTTGGAACTGCTGTAGCCAATGAATGGGCAGCGCGAGGTAAAGTTTGCCTGCACCAAGACCGGTACCAAATTCCAATGCATGCAGCGATTACCTCTTCAGTCCAACCTTCGCTAAAAACATAAAAAGCGAGCTCACATTGCATCAGTAGTGACCGTGGTGTTTCCGGTACAACCTCAAGTAATGGCAGTACAGCTAGTTGTGTCAAGTAATGGCCGCAAGGCTAGTTGTGTGATCGCAAGTGACGTGTGTGTGGGCCTGTCAAGCGATCCAATGGTGAACCGGATTATTCCGACGATACAAGCTAACGACCGTAGTACATACCATTACAACTGTCATAGTAGCACACTGAGCGAGCAACTTTGCCTTCCAGGCCATGTGTATCGTACACCCGTAGACAGAACACTCGTGATTGTCCATCAGGGCGACTGCGTCGTTTATTGCGTGGACCCTTCGTCCTCCGCCTTACCAACTGCTTCTAGTTGGTGGTCACGTTGCTATTGTATCTCGCGCCAAACTCTCAGAGGAAAACACGCAACCCAGTGGTCCTGAGACACGCAATGACGACTATCACCCAAACATGAACCTCAAAAGGAAGCAAAGTCTTTGCTCGAAGCAAATCACGTTCGGGTCCCGTCGGCAGCGAGGTTAAAAAAAGTGATGAGGAGGCGGAAATGTCGTCAAGAATGATAAGAACTCTACACTAGACTCTAGCGTCCAGCAGCCCTAGAAGAGGCCGTCTATCGTGGCGCCCTGACGTGGTCATTCTATCTACTCTTGGCTGCAATCACTTCAAGACGGCGTCGACCGACATCGTAACTTCTTCCACAATTTTGGTGATCCGAAACAAACTCATTTGTCCTTCCCTGTCGATACATTCGCACAACAACTTGTCTGCACAAAAGGCGAGGAAGTCCGCCATGGCTTCGTCTTCCCCCCTAACCTCGTGCGCCAAGTACGTGACCGTGTCGCCATGACTAAATCTGTGAATAGTGCGCGCCAGATTCCTCCAACTCTCTGGACCATAAATAGGATTGATACAGTCGGACACGAGGATGTAACGGTAGCTGCTGCGGGGCAGAAGATCCTCACTGCCCCATCGAAACTCGGCCACGTCCACTCGCGCGCGCATGCTCTCGGACGTCGCATTGGTCTCGACATTGCGACGCAGCAGCTCCAGCGCCTCCGCTTGGTCCGTCAGCAGCACATCGGCCACCAGACTCGACGCCACGAGTCCCGCGAGGCCGCAGCCGCTGCCCAGTTCCAGCACTGGCTGGCCAGCGCGGACGTCGAACGCCAGTGGCGACTCGGGCGAGGAGAAACGCACGAGGCGCTCGGCTAAGAAGCGACTGGCGTCCCACACGCGCGACGCCGTCCAAACGTCGGAAAAGAGCGGGGCCAGCGCGTCGCGGTGCAGCGTCTCCGACAGCGCGTAGCTGCGGTCGCCCACGACCACGAAAACGAGCGGCAGCGGTGTCATGTGCGTGTTATTGCGTACTTGGTTTTTGTATGTGAGCTTGTGCTAAAAGCCGGTTCGAACGAAAACTCAACCACGGCGTGTGTCGTCTCGTTGTGTTCTTTGTCCATCGAGAGAGGTGGGCGACGGGGCGGAACTGGCGTCGCGGAAAGCACGTCTCTCGCCCACTTTGGTCTACTGCGCGCATTTTCTTCTTCTTCTTTTTCTTCTCTTTTTCCTCTCCTTGTTCTTCCTCCCATTCATGCTCGTTTCCTGCCACCAGCGTGTGGCGTCGTGCCTCGCGCGCTGACCCGACAAACGTCCAGTCCGCAGCCAATCTGGTCAGCAAGCACCTTGGAGCGCCCACTTCCACACAAACACGGCGTCGTCTCGTGTTTCACCGACACGTGCGAAAGGTCGTGGCGTTTCGAAACCGTTGCATGCAACGGCGCAATGCCCGTTTTCTGCGCACTCGCTGCACGGTAAATGCGGAAAAAGGGCCTGGCGGGCCCGAATGGCTGCAGCTCCACCCGCACTCGTGCTGCCGTTGACAAGCGCTCCGTATGTCGAGTGCGCACTGTCCCGGCTCTGTCCTCCGCATCTGATGCCCTAGCCGCACCAGCTGGTTGCCAGGTCAGCACAATAAGCCCAGCTCGCTTGCTCGCTCTCCCTCTCTCTCTCTTTCGTTTCGGTCGCTTCTTCGCCTTCAGTTCCGAGCAGCGCCGTTGGCATGCCGCGCCCCGAGTACGCGCCTTTTCTCACGTCGCCGCGCGGCGCGTCCGCTTCAATGGGGCGATCGTTCGTCGTCGCGGCTCCGCGCGCTGTCTCGGCACTAAGCTCCGCCGCCTCGGAGACGCTCAGCGCCGCGCTCAGTGTCGCGAAGCTCAATCTGCACCGCCGCCGCCGCCAGACGCTCACCGACTTGACCGACAGCAGCAACAGTCGCAGCGGCCGCCGATCCACGTACGTGGACTGCGACGACGACGACGATGACGACGACGACGACGACGACGACGAGGCCGCTGACCCGTTCGAGCCACTGCAGTCGCTTCAAGCCCAAGAGCACGACCAAAAGCAAGAGCAACAGCGACAGCAACAGCTGCGACACGCGCGTCAATCGCGGCCGCACAAGCCCGTGCGCTCGCCGTCCGCGGGTCGCGTGGCCTCGTCGCCCTCGACGCGCTCGCGGTCGGCGCGCTCGTCGTCGGCCACGTCGCCCTCGAGTCTGCGGGACGAGCCGCTCTCGTCGTCCCTCGTGAGCGACGTGGCGCCGCAGCTGCCCGAGCTCTCGCCCGACCGCGTCCACGCGCTCGTGCACTTCATCGACCGGTCCGTGGACAACGCGTACAACCTCAGCCTTGGCTTTGGCCGCGTGCGCTGGACGCCCAGTCGCGCCAAAGACGGCGTGACGATCCGCCGCGCCAAGGGCGGACCGGACGACACGATGCTGGACGCGGCCGTGCGCGGCAGTTGCAACATCAGCGCGACGTTCCGCGAGATGAGCGACCTTTTGATCACGGAGACGACGGCGGACTTTGCCGAGTTCGAGCACGCGGTGAACCCGACGGAGTTCCTGGACGGCCAAGTGCTGTACACGCTGGTGCCACGCACACCCGAGGAGCGCTTTGTGTGCGTCAAGTGGCACTGCACGCGGTCCATGGCGTCGTCCGTGGCGAGACACCGGGACTACGTGTACGTGGAGCTCGTGGACTCGTTCAAAGACGAAGACGGACGTCGGATTGGCTACCGTCTGAGCAAGAGCGTGGACCTCCCTGACGTGTTGCCCCCGCGGGACACGAAGCACCTTTTCGTACGGGCCAAGACGCTGACGCTGCAGACGTGGAGCGAACGCGCGCCAGGGAGTTTGGAGTTTGTCACGATGATGATCAACGATTTAGGCGACGGACTGCCGTCGTGGCTTGTGCACAAGATGGTGGACACGGCAGCCATGCGCCCGGCGTGCATACGCGACCACATTAACCAGCGCCGCCTCGATATGCTGGTATACGCTGGGCCGAGTGACATGGTGCCGCTCAACCGCCGCATCTGTTGCGTTGTGTGCACGCGCAGCTTTTCGCTCGTGAGGAAGAAGTACAGCTGTGCGGCGTGTGGAGACGTCATTTGTAACCAATGCAGTGTGCACCAGCTCGTGACGACACATCAGCGGCTGAGCGATCTCTCAGCGCCTGGGGGCAAACGCAAAACGCGCATTTGTCTCAAGTGCAGCAGTACTATGCAGAACAAAGAGTTGCCTCGACGCGCGTCGTGTGCGCGACAGAGCGAGATGTCTCGTGTCAGCTCGGACGGCAGTGTCCGCAGTTCTCTAGCATCGAACGGCTCGTTTCTCGCGCGCTCGCACGTATCGGCAGGAAAGACGTCTGACGAGACTCGACGCAGTTTTCTGTCCGACTCAACAGCCGGAACAAGTTCACAGGAATCTGTTGAAGACGGCGGCCGAGGCAGTGGCAACGGGTCTGCTACATTGCGCAAACAGGTACCGAACGTGTTCCAGTTCCGCCTGATGTCGTCTTCACTGGGCAAGAGTGAGCGTTTGTCAAAGGCGTCTACATCTTCTTTGTCGCCCGGTAATGAAGAGGACCGTTTAGGTACCGAAGAGTATCAGGCACAAATGTTTGGTGACAGTGCTCCCGCGCCTGCATCTGTGAAGCTTGACCTTGGTGTTGGAAGATACAAAGAGACCTTGCCTCGACGAAATTCCGAGCGAAAGCTTGAAGTGGAAGCATTGAAGCAAGCAAAGCACAGCGACGTGGAAAGGAGACTTATTGAGGATGATGCTGATAATTTTCTTGACATGAAACGTGGTAGGAAGGGACCAGTGCGTCAATCTGCTGCAGTGATGACGCTAGAGATGGACATGCCTTCAGTACGCAAAGTGGAAGTTGCCAGCTTTTTGACCGAAGAAGAGAATGCGAATTTGGACACTGCATCAAGTGATTCAGAATCGGCCAGGTTTCTTACGGTGGACGAGAATTCTAAAATTGTGGAGAGTCGATCTCTTGGAAGAAGATCTGAGGCTGGTTTCCCAGTTCCTGTACAGGTGGAGGAACTCATTATAGAAGAAGTTACTCCCGAGACGTTCTGTACCGTTCCGCGGCGAAGTAAAGAGTTTGAAGCAATTGGGGTGGAAGAGTTGGTCATCGAGGAAGTCGAGCCCGTTGCTGTAAGTTTTCTGCCACGACGGATCTCAAAGACAGAAGAATTTGCTGCTGGAAAGGTTCACCCCGAGCACGGTGGCATTGTCCCGCGACGCGGCATCAAGTGCGAGCAGGTCGTAGACGAGGAAGCTCAGTCCGAGAATGCGAGAAATGCGTCTGTGCTTTGTATGGACGAAGCGGAAATTGAGATACCAATGGTGGTTCGTAAAGTGTCGAAGAAAGTTGTTGTTGGTCCTAGCAGACGACTCAGTCGCGAATCAAGAAGAGCACCAGCGCTGCGGCCTGTTGGTGCCCCACCTCCACCACCACCGAGGGCTGCGGGTACGCTGTCAGATAGTATAACAAGTGTCAGCAACGAGAACCTGCCGGCTCCAGTTCAAGGATCGACAGCATCAGACGAGGAGGTCATCAAAGTCGAGGATCTACAGATGCATTTGGACCGTATGAACCAAATCTCGGCAAGGCTGCGAGTCCTCCATACGACGGAAGCTCCGGTCAGCACGCAAACAGCAATGGCTGCGCTTACAACGTTTGAGATTAAAGCGAAGGCTGAACGTGCAGCCAAGATTGCAGCCAACTTCGTCAGTCTTTTGGACCGGCATGCTGCACCAGCGGCTCGGCGCGCACAGCAGTATTTGAAGCAGTGTGAGAACCACCGCACAAGTTTGTTCAATGTGACGCTGGCTATGGGCGACGGCAGCTTTGTGGATTACCTCGTCGACTCGACGTTTGAAGAGATTGGTGAGAGTCCTGACGGCACGGGCTCGGGATGGCAGTCCGTGCTCTCTCAAACGACGGGCAAGCAGTATTTCTATAACCAGAATTGTGCGCTTGCATCCTGGACTTTGCCAGGACCTGACGTTTTTCGGGGAACGCTGTATATGGTGCTGTAGCGGATCTTCTTGAGGTAAGCACGCACGAAACGTATTATTTAGCTAGCGACGAGAGAGAACCTGAGTCTGTGCGTGAACAGGTCTGCACCAAGCAAACCTGAGCACACAACGAGTAAAGTCTATCAACGACCAAAGTAAAAATTCTTGCATAAAGCTGCGTGACTGACTAATGTACGTCCAGGCTCTCTTCACCGGTACTCTTCGCGGCCTTGTGTCGTGGCAGGCGCACTGCATTCTCGTGTACGCTCGGCGGCCTTTGGAGTGCCAGCATCCACAGACGAGATGATGCTGGTACGAGGAGTAGGTGACTTCTTCTCCAAAACGGAAGCGGCCAGGTCTGCAAAGCGCGCGGAAAAGCTCGCGGGGCTGGAGGTTAGTGTTGACACTTTGGCGCTGACCGGCACGGGAGACTGAAGTGAAGTAGTGGACGTGACAGACGAGCGCTGGTTGGGAAGTCTCAGAAGTCGCGTCCGCGCTGCTGTGGTTGCGTGGCGATCCTGCACGGAAGTCGGCGAATCGAATGAGCTTTTCCTTGCAGGCAAGTTCACCTAGTAGCTGCGTGACCCGCTGCAGAGTCATCGTCGACACGTCGGTTTCATTGATGCTCACGACGCACATGCCCGGGCGCACGTTCCTGCTCAGCTCAATAGCGCCTTTTTCACCATTCGAAAGGTTTTTGAACCCCAGAACGACGGCGCACTCCGGGATCTTGCTATCCAGTAGCACACCTAAGAGACCAGGGGGCACTTGTACTTCTACCATCTCCTCAGTTTCATCGTCACTCTCGCTGTCGCTGTCGTTGTCGAAGAAAGCCGCGCCTTGGAGTGCACCTTGGAGCATGGCATCGTAGTCCTCTGACAACGTCACGGGGATCTCTGCATACTGGTAGTCGAGCTTGCGGAGCTCCTCGTAGTACAAGTTCGAGCCGACAATCTTGTAGTCCGATCCCGCCCAGAGGTTCACCAGCTTCGCTTCTCCTTTGTCTTCATAGTACAGTCCACGCAAACTTCTCGAGTGGATGCTCGTCGACGGCTCAAAGTAGACCACCGTGGCTTTGCGACCAAGATGCAAGATCACTTTGCCATTGAGACTCTCGGGCTCTGCAGAGGAAGAAGCAGAACGGAACGAGGAACCGTTAGTACTACTTATCCGGTACTTATGTGTCCCACACAATCTCCAGACCAAAATCCGGACCTTTCATGGGCGCCACGCAGCCCTGAGACCGGAGCAGCTCAATGATCTGCAAGTGGCCTCTCCAGATCGCCAGATCCAGTGCCGTGTAGCCATCCTGAGAGCAGCAGAAGAGACATCATAGAAACGATCGAATCAGAATCATACAGGTATACAGTATACAAGCACGCATTGTCCCGTCGTACGTCCGTAAGGGCGAGCACGTCGGCCCCGTATTGTAGAAGCATCATAGCGATCTGTGTGTTGCCGACGAGACAGGCACAGTGCAGCATCGAGAACCCGCCGCTGTCCGTCAGCGCCGCGACATCTGCCTTGCCGATCTTGATCGTCAAGTACCGCCGCGTCTTCTCCACGTTGCCCTCCAGGATAGCCTCGCGCAGATACTGATTGCTCCTGCCCTGCAGGAGATTCATCGCTCGTTTGGTCTGGTAACAAATATTTGTGTGTGTACACACACGTACGTGCGTAGTGTATACTCAGTCTGTCTCCGTTGTGTCGAGTATACTGTCAATGTGCTTTCCGTTCAGCTTCTTTTTTGGCTGCCTCCAGAATACCGGATTTCTCCTTTTTTGCTACTTCACACAAGCCAGCAGTTGTCGATTGTAAAATCCCTCATTGTCGGGACAGCGGAGCCCGAAGGAGAAAAAGTCTGTGGGCGTCATTCACACTCTGCTAGTAACTCAAGTATTTGCAATCGAGTTTCAATCGACAATGTCAGTTGTTGATTAAAGTAGTAAAAGCGTAAGATCAGCTACATGGCGTCCACCTTTGATGCTGCCAGGTGCGACTGAGTATGTGGTGGCATCAGTCGTCGGTGTGTACAACTCCAGGGCTGCATTTGCAGGAATTGACCGGTACATCAAGCAAAAGTTAGCTATTCACGGAATGTCTTCTAGTACTACACGTTTGGTGTTCGGTTAGTTGTATGGGAAGGCAGTGGAGACTTGTAGAAAGCAAGGTCCGTCTCGCACTAGCACAGTGGTCCTACGACTTAGTAGGTCAAGCAAAGCACGTCATAGCGCTCGGGTGGAGACTATTCGTCAACGATGTAAGTCGCAGCAATGATGTGATTAATGACGTGGATCTCGGTGACGAGAATAGCAGCAAATGTGTGAGATGCTGCTTTCTAAGAAAAGCCCGAACGAAGAGCAACTGGAATACCAACAAGCACACGAATGATCATTCGCGAAGTATTACAAGTCATGCTCCAATCCGAGTAGGTGATGCATTCATTTCCTTCGGCTTGTAGTGACCTTGCACGTGTCCACTACAATCCCATGACTGGCATGCGACGAATACTTCCAATGGCTAGTATACCGAATACGTTCGATGCCACGTCCTGTTTTCAAGTTTGTCAGAGACATCGTGTCTCAGCATCGCAGAAGATCGAACAAAAAATGTGATTCGCGAACGATGCAGCCGCCTCATGATCTTGTACGTGTACTTGTATACATTGTTTCTATCACTCGCAAGCGGGGATGTGCCCGTGCGAGGCCTTCAATGCATCAGTGAGAGCACATTAAGGTCGAGTTCCCTTGACAGACATTCTGACATCAATTCATCTAAGGTCGGACGGAAATCGCCCTTGCACTTGGCTTGCGTGCCGTCCGATCACCACCACCAAGACCCTCGCTCACGTGTTGATGCAGTCGCTGCACATACCGTATGGCATGCAGTCTACATGATGTCAGCTATTAGCGCCATCGCAGCATTCTAAAAAATCAGGTTCTTCGTATGCGCACGATTGATTACCCACTGCCTGTGTAGAAATCGTCGAGCAGAATCCATTTCTCACCATCGAGCGAGTCACGATACTTCTACTTTCCAAGTCTCACTTCAACCGCCACCACTATGACAAGGGACTTCGTTCAAGTTCTTGGTATCATCCCTTAGGAAAAGGCACCGAATCGCCCGATCGACGATATCGATTGCAATGACTTGCATAAGGCACCTAGGAACGATCCAACCTGCTTTTCAGGACTCGTTGCCAATGCTGAAGATATAACGAGTCGTCTTCTAGGAATAGACGGCTGCAGCACCAAAGCAGTCATTCGTAAAGCACTACTTGTCGGTACGCGTCATGTGTTGTCGCAACAATCAAAAGGCATATACCAAGGACGGCAACAATGCGTGTTGCTAATTCCTATCGCGCATTGGTGCGTCACGAGTCCATTTCTTGAACAATGGAGATGGCAATTGGTGCCGATTGACATTGATCTAGAATGCAGGTATCATCCACCGAGACGTGATTTGAACTGAGCTAGGCTTGGAAAGCCGTGCAGCTGAGATAGGAACCGCTGGGAAGGAACCGCTGTATGGCTAAAAGATGCAGGTAAAGCGTATATTGGATGATGCTCTTCATCTGTACGATGCGAACAAGGATGAACGATGGCGTCAGCTGCTTGTCCCTTCAAAATGAAGCAAACTTAGATCCGAGATCGTGTTGGCACCGATGCCTCAATTGGTGATGACGATATCCGTCGCGTCGGTCGTGATGGCATTTGCCGCATCCTCTATCGTCTCAAGGATGGCATCAACTCCGGTATCGACGATAGCATCGACTCCAGTGTCGACGAAGCCCGTACTTTGGTCCGTTTGGTCCACTTCTGACTGCATCGGGTTCGTGTGACTGTCTTCCACCACTTCATCCGTCTGTTCTGGACCCGAGTTCTCCACCAGTGCTTCGGTCAAATAGGGCACCAAGACATCCGCAATAGCGGACGTGTACGAGTCAGGTGAGATGTCGTGCTGAACATGTGTCAAATCCGAATGTGTCTCCGGCACGTGAACTGAGTCTGGAAACTCGATCGCTAGTGCAGGAGTTGGGTACGCCTCGGTCGTTGTTTCGATAAGAGACAGGTCCGTTTCAGGGACTAACGTGAACACTGGACACGGGGTCACCGGCGCAGGTGTTGAGTAGGCTTCGATCATTTCGACGGGTGCTATCTCTGGTACCAACGTGAATTTCGGACACGGGATCGTCAGACCAGGAATCGGGTGTTCCCCGGTAGTTCCTTCGTGTATCGTGTCTGGCACCGACGTTTCTTCCGGTTGGTGAGGTGGTGTGTCGGACACAGGTGCCACAACTGGACCTGGGGTCTCGGTTTGCACCTCAACATGCTCTTCGACTTGTGCCGGTGTCTCCACCACGGGGACCTCACTTTTCACCTCTGCATCAAGTGCAGGAGTGGGCAATTCAGGGCAAGGGGTCTCGGCATGCTCCTCGACAACATGTTCTTCTTCCTGCACCGGTGTCTCCACCACGGGTGTCTCCACCACGGGTGTCTCCACATCGGCCTCCGCATCAAGTGCAGGAGTGGGCAATTCAGGGCAAGGGGTTGCATCAGATTGTACCGAAGCGTGTCCTTCATTTTGCAGTGCTGTCTCCATCACGGGAACCTCACTTTTCACCTCCGCATCAAGTGCAGGAGTAGGCAATTCAGGGCAAGGGGTCGCCTCGGTTTGCACCGGAGTGTACTCTCCTTCTTGCTTCGAGACCCCTTCAACTAGTTCAGGCTGCAGCGTCTCCGTCGGGGTCAGCGCATACCCATCATCGGCCTGTGCTACAGAAGGAAAGACTTCAGGGTGCGGCGCATCCACTACAGTTTGTGCAGGCATCAGCTCTTCCTGGAAAGCAGCATGGTAGCCACCTCCATTCACGACACACGTGTGTGAGACGCAACCAGCGATGATCGCTACGAGATACTTGACGGGGAGCATGTTCGATAGATTGGTTTGAGTGGTCGTAGCGAAAGAGCGAAGCGTGCAGTCAATCGGAGTCTTTGAGGATGCAAAAGTATAAGTGAGCAGCTCATGCATTCGAGGTCGTGACCGAGGAGTTTCATCAGTCGTTTCGATTGCGGCTGTGCGAAACGGCTCAAGCGACCGAGGAAAGACACACGTGAAAGGCGGGGCCGTTTGTCTGACGAGCTTAACGGAGCAAGTGGATCGATTGCCTTCGGATTGCGCAGAGTATATATTATTCGTAAGAGGGAAGGTGAGGCTCAACTAAGGACGTTGACCATGTGTTGTTTGCTGCTTGAGACTTGGATGGTAAATTGAGAACTAAATGTATTGCAGCCTTTGATCCTAGTTATCTCTGTGTCCGTTACTTTCAGTTTCTTCTGCGTAGGTTTCGTGTCATTACTCGTCCGTTACGATAGTCGCTTACCTTTATCACTAGTCGCGCCCTTTCACATCATGGGTCGCGTTCCTTCAACATCACGAGTCGTTCTACTTCAACACTCCTTCCCGAGTGGTCATACTTACCCTGAAAGCATCACAAGTCCGCGAAGCTGGCTAAGTCGTGGCGCTGGGAGGGTCTTGGTCAGTATGTCCGCACGCATACTCTTGGATTCGCAGTACTGCACCTTTAGCATCTTCTTTGTTTCCAAATCTTTTACGAACTTGAATCGCACATCAATGTGCTTTGCTCGACCAGACGCGTCCTCTCCCTTGATCTGAGCGATGGCTGCTTGATTGTCGACATGCAATATTGAACCAGGCTGAACCGATACGTCAATCTCCTTAGCAGTTCAATGATACCCATCATTTCAGCAGCGGTTTGTGAAGCCGCCACAAACTCGGCTTCCATCGTTGATAAGGCGACACACTTCTGCTTCTTGCACAGCCATCCCACCACCATTCCGGCCACCATCATCACACCGCCGCTGACTGACTTCCGGTCAGTTTTATCTGCGGCGTAATCGGCGTCACTGTAAGCTTCGACCAGCACGCCGTCGTCCTTGATTGCGTCCTTTCTTTCGTGCATTATGAACTTGAGTCCCTTTGTGTCCTTCAGATACTTGGCTATCTTCTTTGCCAAACGCCAATCGCCTTCATTTGGCGCGTGCAAACGCCGCGTCACTCGGTGTACCGCAAACGCAATGTCTGGGCGTGTGCACCGGGCGATCCACAGCAGACTGCCCACCAGCGACTGAAACGTCTGCACAGTCGGTCTTTGTGGCGAGCCACTTCTACCAGAAGGTAGCAGGGTTATTTCTTCGTCTCTGTCCTCTCCACATATCGGCACTCTGACCGCCGCCGAATCTTTAAGTCCAAACTTGTCGAGCATCTCGTCGATGGTGTTTTCTTGATCTAGTGCCCATCCGGTCTTGGCGCTGTAATTGAACGCGATGCCAAGGAACTTGGTTACCACGCCGAGATCCTTCAACTCAATGACTTGCATGTCGACAAACAAGTCGTTGACCTTATTTACATCCGTTCCAGTCGCCAGCACATCGTCTACGTAGATCCCCACGAGCGTTTTACCGTCGGTCTCAGTCTTTATGTAGAGACAACTGTCTGTATAACACTGACTGAAACCCAGCGACATTAAGATGTCGTGAAGCATCAGGTTCCACAGCCGGCCCGACTGTTTAAGGCCATACAGGCGCTTCTTGAGTCTTAGCGCGAGCTGCCTCTTATCCCGCACGCCATGTTTTTTCGTAACAACTTGGCATCTATATTCATTCCCTGTGAAATATAAAGCAGAATTTCCAAGTCATCTTCTTTTCCGCTTTAACATAAGCGCTCGGCACATCGTCGTGTCGCGCATGTACCCCCCATATCCTTGACACAGCAAGTATCACCTTGCCAGAGATCATCTCCATCACAGCCGAGAAAGTGTAGGTGTAATCAACACCATATACTTGTTCGTCGCCGCGCGCCACTAGATTTGCCTTCAATGGATCGATAGAACCGTCTGCGTGCACTTTTAGCTTGTACACCCATTTACTGTGCAGTAACTTGGAATCGCGTGGTTTTTGAATAACCTCCCAGGTATCGTTGTGCTCTAACGCTTCAATCTCCGTACACATAGCCTCTTCCCACTGCTTGACTCGAGGGTCTTTCATCGCCTCGCGATAGTTTTTTGGATCTTTGAGACTGATCGCTTTCACTCGACTCACTGGTATGTGCTTGTCACCCATATTTCGGGTTTGCATCCTAGTTCGCGTTTGCTCTTCCGCGGGTAGTAGTTCGTCCCCCGCTTTCCGCTTCTTGTAGGTCCGTGTAATTCTTGCTCACATCGGGTTCCTTCTCTTCTTCAGAAAATTTTCTCTTTGACTTGACTGCGTCCTTTGTTGACTCGGCAGAGTCATGTTTCGTCTTTGCTGACGCCCGTTTCGATGGAAGCAAAATTACTGCGTGGGGCTCCTTCCGCTTCGCGGCATCGTCGAGATCTGACACATCGCGCCGCAGCATAGGGTCTTCTTGCTCAAGCTGCGCCTGTAGCTGGGCGTTCTGCTTACTGTTAAGCGTATCAACGTTTCGAATGAGCTGCGTTGTAATAACAGTCCTCTACTTAGGCAGGTACACCCTAAAACCTTTAGTCTCATCGTTCTTGCCGATGACCACGCCAACCTGGAATCTTGACTTCCATGATTTCTTTCCGGGGTCCTTTAACGCTGAGCACGGGCTTCCGAAGATCACCAGTCCACCAGATTCGATATGTTACCTGTCAACATCTCTAGCGGCGACATACGCTTCGGGTTGGCACTGCACGAGCTTCGATTTAGAACATAAGCTGCATACTCGACGGCGTCGCCCCAAAAGAAAAAAGGCAAGCCGCTCGCAAACAGCATACATCTTGCCATGTTGAGGATAGTTCTGTGCATTCGCTCAGCTTTTCCATTTGATGCTTGATTATCGGCCTCGCTGAGTTGACGTCTCACTCCAGCTGACTTGCACAACGGATCGACGTTAACGTACTCCTTGCCACCGTCCGTGCGCAACACATGGATGCGACAGTTGAATCTCTTCTCGTAATAGAGTAGAAAGTGCTTAAAATTCTTTGTAGCCTCGATCTTTCTCTTGGCGACGAACACGCGTACGCAATTCGTCGAGTAGTCGACGAAGTTGATGAGGTATCGATTTCCACGACGGTCCTTCGGAGTCATTGGTCCTTTGATGTCGCTACCGATAACACCCCCGAGCTTGTCGATCGGTGCATTCCTTCCTGTGTCCTTCTTGGGCTGGTTGTTCTTGCTCTGTTTGCCCTGTGCGCAAGTCAAACAATTTGGCCTCGTTCGGTCGGTCAACCGGATACCTGAACCTGCCGAGTCGGCCATGCGTACGATAGTATCGTAGGAAAGATGGCCCAGTCTTTGGTGCAATTCCAGCAGTGTTGTATCCGTGACTGCTTCATCTATTTCGTCGAAACCTTCTTGCACGGCTAAGTTGACCACTCGTACTCGTGCATCCGTTGTGCTCTCGCCCATGACGTCGATAGTCAGGACATTGTTGCGGCGGAAGACTTCGAATATCTTCCTGTTGTCCTCTTGGCGCACCACATAACTTTGGCCGCCTTCTCGCATGAGGAACACACCACGTTCCTCCAATAAACCATAGCTGATGATGTTGTCAGCAAGGTTGCTAGCGTAGTAGACCTCGGTGAGGTCCACGATAACCTCTTTTCCATTGACCACCGTCTTCAGCTCGGCCGTTCCCACTTTGGTCACTCGGACCATCGTGTTGTTTGCCGCGCGACATGAATGGTCGCAATCCTTCACGTTCTTCAACATCATCGCATCTTTCACAAGGTGCACGCTCGAACCGCTGTCCAGGATCCACGAGTCAGAGTCAGCTGTCGTACCGGTACCAATGGCTAGCGCAACCCGGCTTGAAATCGAATTGCCGTCACCTTTTTTTTGGACAGTTGGCCTTAATATGACCAGCCTCGCCACAGCCATAACATTTGCGAGAATCGGCACTTTCAACCCGTGCAACGTATCTCCTTTCGCGCCCTCCTTGGTCGCTTCGTCCACCGCCGGGGTAGCGAACTACTAGCGCGCGGCTTGATCGAACAGCTCGGTCTCGGCCTCCTCCGCTATTCGTCTTCTTCATGCTAATTTCAAAATCAATCGCGAACGCAACAAGCTCAGCAGCTTGTACAAGGTAATCAGGTCGTTGAGCATTCATCCGAGTTAACATCGCGGTTTGAATGTGCGATGGTGCCGACTTGCATAAGCATTCTAGCACACTCTGCTCCGAATTTCCCGACCGCTCTGCCACGTACACAAGGTAGCGGTAGTGCTCGGGACATGTCTTGTTTTGATCCTTCTCGCTTATCATTAGCTCAATTCCTTTAGTAGATGGAATCGGCGTCATGTACAGCAACAGCATGCTGTTCAGGACGTGTTCGAGTGTGTTCGACACCGACGACCACACCGGCAGCATCTTCTCGTAATAGCTGAGTGCCGCTCCATCCAGCTTACCACTCAGCGCGAGGACCTTAAACTCTTCTGGCCAATCACCTCCGCTCATCCTCTGAGCTGCACCGACTCGTTGTAGGAAACGCATACCCCGCGCCTTGAAGTCGGCACCCACGCCTGGGTATGTCACCTTACCCGTAAACTTGGCAAAGCCGGGCCAGTCCAGGTCCCGAGGCTTAGGTATCTTTAACCCATAATCTTCACGCGGCGTAAAATTCGGCGACGATCTCGGTGGCTGATTCTGGTTTACTTGCTGCGGCGGCTGATTAGGCGGCGGCATGCATGGCGTTACAGGCGGCATGGCATTCTGCATGGGCTCATCTAGTGAGCCCCTCCTCATCCGACGGTCCCGCGCTCTGATAAAGTCGGTGAGCGCGCTTGAACCATTGAACAAGTGCTCGGCAGGATGCGTGGGAGCAGCATCGGCACGGCGACTCATCTGGTCTTGCATCTTCATCTGGTTTGCCATAAACTGAGCTTGTTGCTGTGCCATCCCTTCGAGGAGTCCTTCAAGCCGGTCCATCCGCTCAGAGCTCGCATCAGAAATACGACTCGCGCTCTTTTGGGCTTCGGACGCGTCCAAAGCCGATCGCGTCTCCTCGCGCATCCCGGACGGGTCAGCAACCACGTTTTGTGCGTGAGTGTCCGTCCTGGCGACGTCGCGTACCGGGGTTTGCTGGTGAGGAGTCGAGTCGTTGTCGCTTGGGCTCATAACCTGTTGTTTGCTGCTTGAGACTTGGATGGTAAATTGAGAACGAAATGTATTTGAGCTTATAATCCTAGTTATCTCTGTGTCCGTTACTTTCAGTTTCTTCTGCGTAGGTTTCGTGTCATTACTCGTCCGTTACGATAGTCGCTTACCTTTATCACTAGTCGCGCCCTTTCACATCATGGGTCGCGTTCCTTCAACATCACGAGTCGTTCTACTTCAACACCATGTCTGTCATGGCGTTTAATCGATTGGGACCGCACGCAGCTCATCCGTAGAGCGAAACCCTTTCATTTGTGTTGTGACTTTATGCGATAGCGAAACATGCGAGCGCTGGTCTGTCCCGAGATAACTGACACAAACGATGGCAACGATACTTGCTCAACTTCTCGTATAAGTATGCATCAAGTCCTATCATAGCTTCTACTTGAAATGCGCACACTTTTATAGGCATTAGCTGAGCCTGAGCTTTTCGAGCTCGGAAACTGTTCGTCACCATAAACGAGCATGCATTAAACTGGTTAGCGGTGGTTACGCGAATGGCGTAGCTGCGAGTTCGTATTCTGTCGCCAGTTCTTCGTTGCTTACCTGCAAATGCGAGGCATGATGCTACAAAAGTGGCAGTAACGTAGTCAACCAACTGGCAAGTAGCGCAATGGAATTCGTGCTGCGTGCAAGTTGCGGTAGACAACACGTACCACAAACATCCAAGAAGTCCTCGATAGGATCGCAGCAACAAAAGCGCTTCTCCCTTAATCGACCGCGTTCATCATTTCTTCTCAGATGTAGGTAGTGCTTCTTCGAGCATGACACGCATGAACCTTTGGCGCTACAAGGAGCATCGTGTGCAGGTGGTAGCGGTGTCTGTTTCCGTGATGGTATACCGGAATGACACGCGCGCAGCACTTACTCACGTGATACATAGGGTGTCTTTTATCAAAGACTGTTGTCGCGTTGTGCCTCTGCGTGAAGCAAAGCGAAAGGGTATCACGTCCCGCCATACTCAGGTCGTCTCCATTCTTTGTCTAGCCTGAGGTTGTCATGGTAGCCCAGACTAGTTCGATGCGGGGATGTGAGTAACCAACATTTTGTCAGCTAGCACAGCACCATCACCAAGACACACTTTCTAACCTTACATGATCCCCGCGGTCTGACAATGCTTCACTTCACTCATTCACTGTTGCTTCCGCCGCTTTGCGCTACTCTCTTGCGTTTCTTCACGCATAATAGTTGATTTGGCAAGTTTGTTGATCGAAGTGGTGTCTGTAACGAACGTGTTGTCGGGATCTTGGACAAGCTGTGCAGTCGTAGGGTACATAGCAATCTAGCAACGATGAACACCTTTTGTGGTTGCACGCAATACCGTTTGTCGTTGCTATGTCATTCTTTCCGCCGTGTCGAAGAATAGGCCACATGGCAAACAACTAGGATTCAACAGGAGTCTGAGATGCTTCGGCCGATGTGCCATCGTTACGTAGACGCTGCGGGGGACATCAACTTTGGCAAAGCAAAGTCTAGCAGCAATGCACCAGGCTGATTCGTAGCGCCGGCACAACATGGTGTAGTCAGAAGACACGAGAGTGTCGATCATAATGTTCACTGAATACAAAAGAGCTGCACGAACGCCATGGCAGATCTCGACGACGACGGAAAACATTCAATGATAACGATCGGATTTGCAGTCATACTAGACCCAGCCCTTCGATCTGAAAAGCGCCGTCGGATAGAGGCACTCGTTTCGCCATCGCCAATCAGATGATACGTGTCCTCCTCTTCTCCTCCTGACCATAAGGGGGTCAACCCCTCGAGTCGGATGCACTATGCACATCCAAGCAAGTACCAGTAGCGGTCATAGCATATGCAACTCTGACCTTGACGTCGTAGCTTCGTACTCTCCCATACATTCTGTCCAGCCCCACCCTCCCCCTTTTGTGTCGGTCTTAGCTGCTTGCGGACGGAACGACCATCTGAGTTGTCAACCTACCACAACAAAAGAAGTGCTACAAACGTGACCTCCTGAGTCAGTTCTTGCCATTGGCATCCGTGATAATCGCTGAGTGAGTGTATTCATTTCTGACTAGTTAGGGGTTACAACTCGTAATATCGTCGTCTCGATACAACGTCTCAGCTCATATGTCCTCACTATGCTCATATGCCCTCACTATGCTCATATGTCCTCACTATGCTCAGATTGTCCTCACTATGCTCATATGTCCTCACTATGCTCATATTGTCCTCGCTGGAGAGGCAGGCAGCGAGCAAATCCGAGCTGTTTCTCACCGGCATTTGCGCATCACACGCGTCAGTGGAGCGGAAAAGGCTTTCGACGTGTGTTTCTGCTTCATTAACCCATTGGCAATGGACCTCCTCGACAGCGGCTCTCGTGGAGGCGCTACGTTGGCCACGGCGTTGGCTTCGTGCTCGCTGCTACTGCTGCTACTTTTGCGCTCGTTCCTGCTCCACACGCCGCACGACTTTTCGGCGTTGGCTCAGCTGCTGCTACTTCAGCTCGGCGTGCAGGCAGTGGTGGTGGCGGCGGTTTCTTCCCGCAACTCAAGACGCCTCCGCGTCGAGCCGCAACGCGCAACTTTGGACGCGGTCCACCGTCTCGCGAGTCTATTTCTAACCGTCCAGGCGCTGCGACACTTTGGGGTGTTGTTTGCGTTCTTAGTGCAACATGTGGACCTGCTGCTGCTGCAACTTGAGCGCTGGCACGCCACTGGCGACAAGGAGAGCGCGTTGCTGCTGCTGATTGGCTATTTATTGGTGGCTGGTATCCATTCCGACGCGTACGGGACTCTCCTGCACACCCTGACGCTGCTAGGCGCGGCTCTGGGGCTGCGCGTCGCGGTCCAGTCGCTGTCGATTAGCAGCGCTCCTCATGCTCAAGACGACGCGTCACCGCAGACGCTGCTGTCCGTTACAATGGCCATGAGCGTGGCCGCAGTGCTGGCGTTGCTGACGCCTGTAGAGAGTGACGCGGATCGTGTCCAGCAGCTGATGAACGATCGAGTGAGTGGCGATGCTGGGAGCTCCATGACGACGTGGACAGCTGTTTCTCTGATGGGAGCGACTGCGAGTCACTTTGCAGGTCGCTACGTCGAGCAGAAATTGACGCTGCTGTCGTCCATCCATCAAGCCAAAGCTCAGCTCGTGTGCACGTCGACGGGGATCGTGCTGGCGATTGGTGTTGCATTGGGGCAGCAGCAATGGCTGCACGCTGCCCTGAGCGTCATGGCCTGCAGTCTGATACTCTTTGTCTTTGTGCGTGAATGGCATCGCGCTGGTGCGTCCTTTGGTGATGGTGGTGGCCACAACGGTGATGACAGTGAAGCGGGTCTGGACACGTACCGACCAAGCCCGGGTTGTAGCTCGAAAGAGGGCGTGCTGGCCGGAGCGAGCCACGTCATTGGTGTCTTGTGGTCGCGACGCGCCTCACGTCAAATGCTCCTCTTCCTATCGGTTAACGTTGCCTTCATGTTCGTGGAACTGGGTGTGGGTCTATGCACAAACTCACTTGGGCTCATGGGCGATGCTGGACACATGCTGTTTGACAACGGTGCTCTCGTGATTGGTCTCGGAGCATCCTACATCGGCCAGCTTCCACCAGACGCGAAGTTCACGTACGGATATGGCCGCGTCGAGGTTCTCTCGGGCTTTCTGAATTCCCTGTTACTGCTCGTCGTGTCATTCCACCTGCTTACCGAAGCAGCATCACGCTTTATGGACCCACCTGAGGTTACGACGGATCACTTGCTGCTCACGTCGACAGTCGGTCTTTTTGTGAACCTCGTGGGTCTCTTCTTTTTTCACGATCACGTACACGGTAATTGTCACAGCCATGGAGGGGATTCAACGCACGGTGGAGGCTGCGGCAGCGGTCATGGCCACAGCCATGGCGGTGACCACCATCAGGCCCACAGCGGGCACGCGTCAGAAGGTGGTCACGATAGTGGGAACAGCAACAGCAACATGTACGGTGTGTACCTCCACGTGTTGGCCGATACGATGGGCAGTGTGGGCGTGATCATTTCGTCGGTGCTCATAGAAATGTTCGGATGGCACGTGGCCGACTCTGCGTCCTCCGCACTCATATCGTTGCTAATTTTGGGTAGTACGTTACCATTGCTGCAGAATACAGCTCTCCAGCTATTACAGGGCGCACCTCAGGAATTGAAAAGTAATGTTGATGCAGCTCTCCTGGATGTGCAAACAATGGTACCAGGCGTGGAGCGAATAGCTCGCTGGAATATTTGGCACCACGCGGGCAGCATGAGCGTGGCCACGCTGCACCTCGAGGTTGCATCTTCTGCTGACGAGCAGCATGTGCTCCAGCACACTCGAGATATCTTTCGGCGGCATGCGCGACTTGATGAGTTCTTGACGGTGCAGGTTTCAAAACCTCAGGTGACTCGCACGATGGGAGCGGAGAGGAATGGAAGTGAGAGGTCGCAATTTACGAACGGATACGATGGGGATCATGCTTACAGTCGTCACCATGACCACGGTCACAGCCATGGCTATGACAACGACCACAGTCATCGTCATTCATACGGTCACAGCCACGGTCACAGCCATAGTCACGATCAAGCTCACGATCCCGGTCATGGCCATCGCCATGGTGATGGGCCTTCCGCGGATGCCCACTCTGCATTCTCCGTGCATCATCAGCATGCGCAGCCTGTGGCCAATGCAATGGATATGCACAAGAACCCAGCTCGCGATGACTCCTGCAACGTCATCTTACCCAAACGCGCATCCAAGAACCCTGGTATGCCAAGTTGTGGTCATGGGTTTGAAAGCGACCCAACTTCTGCAAGGCCCGCGCCGTTTGCTTCATATTTTGTGGACCATCAGCAGCACCACTAGCAAAGATAGCGACGACAGCAGACTTGACTCGCAAATCGTATAGAAGCTAGCGGCGGTAGCGTGTTCGTGTGCGCTGTCTCGCACCTTTTCATTGCGTCGGTGCCTAAGTCGCGTTGTCAATCAATGTTGCGTTGTAGAGAGATGGTTTCTTGAACAATTGCAACCGGGCGCGTCAACCAGCAGATATGCTGCTTTTGCTGCTTGCACCTGTTTGCTAGCTGGACGTCTTCGTCCACGGTACTTACGAGAACGTCGAAGCATTACAAAAGTGATCAGAAACCGGGGAGTGAGTCGGCTTTTCAGCACGTTGGTACCGATGTTGTTGTGGCGAGTAACGCCTTGCGCACGGTCTGGATAATGACAACAAAGAGCCACTTGGCTAACGTCATGCCACACGAATAGCAGCTGCTGCGAAGCGTTAGCAGCAGTATCCTCGTAGAATCTGCTGGACAATTAGAGATCGCCAGTAAAAATGTTATCGGCAGCCAGCTCCTCAGATCTCCATCGGTGTGCCAATGCAGTGAGTTGCACTCCGATCATCGCGACTAACACCGTTGTTTGTTGCCTTGCTAGGCCATCGAACCAAGCGCGCCGATGCAGTTCTAGACACAATGCAGTTGCTGGAAAGCTTGGTTTGCTATCGATGGACAGGCCAAATGTTTCGGCTTGTGATGCACTCGAATACGTGTGGTGTGTGTCTGCTGGTCTTGGGGTTGTGTCATGTAGACGCTGCGAACCGGATGCTGACAAGCAAAATGAAGAGTCAGGCTTTAGTGTGAGAGGCACCCTGCGGGTACATGTTAGTTTCACGCAGGTATCGAATGAAGCACCATCTGTGTAAAACAAGCGCTGTCGCCGTGTTTCATTGAAAGTGCAAGAGCTGTACCCGTCACAGTGTTACGCGAGCTCCAGAATGACATCGACCATGGCATGTCTTACTTTTCCGCCCCACTCCGATCATTTACAACTCGAGAAGACTCTGTGGCGCTTTGCTGGTCGGCCCACGCCTGAACTGCAGCAAGCAATGCACCCACGCCTAGTTCATGCCGCAAGAAAGAAGCCAAAGACCCTCGTCAAGCTACTGCAGAATTTGTTCTGGCATGGCATTGTTAACGTACCGTCGCCGAATGCGAGTTTTGCAGCACCTGCCGCAGGATCCAGTCCGAAATTGGCCATGACCGCGTCCGAATTTCCGCTCCGCAGAGCACTCACGAGCGAGCCGATGCTTTGACGCAATTGAGGAGAGCGCAACTGAATGGATACAGTCGATAGATAGCCATGGAGACAAGGCAAAATCGTAAGAGTTAACTGCACATGGGACAATAGGTTCAAACAGCTTGAGATGACGTGCCGTTGTGCGAAGTTCCGCGAGAGTTTGGGAACCCTCGGGCAAGTGTGGTAGCAAGGCGTCGACGCATGCTGGATCATCAAGAACACTCTCCATGTTGTCAGCACTGAGGAGCTTCGTCAGGGATACCGGCTTCGGTTGCTATAGCACAAAACCAATCAGAAACCCATGTGAAAAATGAGGATGAGGACGCCAGCTTACCGTGAGCCCTTGGAAAGAAGCCATTGCGCGTTGTAGGTCTGCCGTTGTAAGCGTTCCACCAGCCGCGACATTGGTGCCTGCCGGAGCTGAGGCTGCAACAGCAGCTGTCGGGGTAAACTGTGACAGCGCCACAGGTTCAGGCGGAACTGGAGCCGACACTGCGGCGGCACCGGACAGAGCTGCAACATGTATAACACACACGACGAACAACACGTCAGCTGAGCGCGCTGAAGACAACATAAACTGTCGCGATGAGACCCGCAGACCACAGTTGCCAGCATGCCTACAAACTTCATAGCAATACAGCACGTGTGAGAACATTGTGGAGCGGACTAGTCCTGCAGCAATTGTATTTACTCACGCTGGTGGAAGGAACGCGTCAGTAGCAAGAGTGGAGCAACATGGACCGAGTAAACGTAAAACTTTGTTGGAGAGTTACATGCTACCTACCCACACGGGTACAAGCCTTTCATTGCATCTTCAACAGCTCAGGATGAGGTGTCCATGTTGCCTCCACCAGCGTCACTGTCACTGTGCCCACCATGACCTGCGGGTCTGTTGCTGCTACTCGAGTCACTGTTACCTCCTGCAGCGCCATCTCCAGATGCGTCCGGGTTGGTGCTACCTCCGTCACGCATGCTCTCCTCAATAGCCAGACGCAAGAGCTCATCTTCATCCATCTCGTCCACTTCCATTCCACTCACATCATGGTCATGCTGAGTGGGTGCCGTAGTCGCCGCCGTCGAGATACCACCGCCATTCTGTGACGCCTGCGACGACGACACGGCAGACGTTGCTGGTGACGACGCCGTCGACTGGGCTTCCGCTGGCAATCCCATATTCTGCAGGATGTTTTGCAGTTCCGACATCTGCACGGCCTGACCTCCGCCGCCAACACCTCCTCCACTGACACCTCCACGTCCCTGATCTCCTGCACTCATAGCGCCGAGCATCTGCATGATAGCATTATGGTCTAGCTGCACGTTGTTGCCAGAGACACGACCACCGTCGTTGCTCGAGGCTGCCTGTGCATTGTTCATGGCGTCATTCACCTTCTTCACCAGCTCCTCGTCACGCGACGCGTCCTTGTTCTGGTACAAACAGCCCAATCATCTTGTAAGAAAAAAAAGACTCAATCTGCCCCATCGACAGTCTCCCTCCTGTTACCTGCATCCAGAAGAAAAAGCGGCGCGACGAGTTCTTGTACTGCAGAATGTACACGCGATCGTCTGGACGGCCCGTGTCCACCTTATCAAAGTGCGCGTCGTCCGGGAAGATGATAAAGTCCTCGGGACTGGCTCCCGTCTGGCGGTCCACCCACTGGAAGTGAAGCAGCTGGTCGTCACCACGTGAGAGACAGACTTTGCCCTTCTCCAGCTGCGGCGTCACGAGGAACTTGCCGTTTGCGGCGGCCTTGACGGTCATTTTGCCAGCGTGGAAGGACACGAGCTCGTTCTGATCAGACGCAACAGACAGACAGACAGACAGACAGACAGACAGTGTTAGCAGACGCAGAGAGGAGAGCGAGAGAGAGAGAGACGATGCGGGTGGTAAGGCCGGGCGGACGTACACGACCGGCTGAGCTGGGCGTGCCGAAGACGTTGCCGAACTGCGGGAAGAGAGACGCGGCCATGGTCGCTCGGCTCGGTTGGCTTTATTGCGAAATGAGCGAGATCTGAGGGAATGCTGGCGTCTGATTGGCGGAGGCGAACGGCTTGTGGTAAAAAGAGCTTTTGGGGGGAACAGACGGGCGTGATGATAGAGTGAGTAGCTGGTTGTAGTCGCTTTTTATATCATCAACGACATCGTTTGGGTCGAGAGAGGTTGACGTCAGTGTATTCTTGGCGTTCTGCTTTCAGTGAAGATTGATTGACCTTGCTGAAGTCTGGTTGGGTGACCTGACATGACTGTTGGCTTTTTGACTGGATGAAAATGTGCATTGTGCTGTCGTTCCACACTTTGCTTTCTTTTCTGTTGACCACCGAGTTAGTAGTATCCAGCTCCAAGAGCTCACAAAATCTTGCTGCGCAATCGCAATCGTCGCTAATGAATGAGCCACATCTGGACATTGTAAGTTGCAGCAGAGCGTGTAAAACGAAACGATGACACCGTTATGAGCCTCGTAGAAGTTGAAACGTCTGAAACGTGGGACGCGCAATTAGAAATGTGCTCGGACATGTTCGAAACGCAATCGAACGCAGGTCCTACGTAGAATGCGGCGGCTTCTGTCCAGTCCACGACTCCTGATCTAGAACGTGTTTCTAACAGTCTCAACGACACAGTCACCCGTCTCGCCCTATCCATTTCGTCACCACCACTCGGAACAATGACCAAGCCAAGACTCACATACCACGACGTGCTGCTCTACGAGTCGGACGTGGCGCTATTCGCGAGTCGCCAGTGGCTCAATGACGCCACCATCAACTTCTACCTGCAGTATCTCACACACACGTGCGCTCCAAGCGACACGTTGCTCATGGACCCCGCCGTCGTTTCGTGTCTACTGCATCAGTGCGAGGACGAGGACGAGTACTCGGACTTGGCCAGAGGTTTAGAACTCCTTTCCAGACGTCTCTGCATCATCCCAGTGGCGGACAACGACGCACTGGGCGGAGGAAGTAGTCACTGGTCGTTGCTGCTCTACTGCGACGGCAGTTTCCGTCACTTTGACTCGAGCGCCGGCCACAATAAACAAGCGGCTGGACGTGTAGCCAAGTCGTTTGAGCTGCTGTTGCAAGCGGCTGGAAGACAGGATGGAGACGGAGCTTCTAATCGAGTTGAGGAGGTTGTAGACGCCCCTCAGCAGAAGAATAGCTTTGATTGCGGTGTATACGTACTGATGCTGGCCGAGTTTTTCAGCCGCCAGCTCGAGCATCAGACGAGTCTCTCTGCTTATGCAACGCAGGACCGAGCGACGGAACTCCGTCAAGAGATGCCCGATCTGATCGAGCGACTTCAGCATGAAGAGACAAAAGAATAGAGTTTGTTTGAACAGTCGTTCATTTGAATGGCCGTTTGATTGCTCGAGCGTTTGTTCAGATTCTAGAAACAACTTTATAAAAAAGGCAATCTCGTTACTTCACCAGTTTGCTGGCAACGCCAAAAGATGCAGATTGCTATCGTGCAGTATGGTACGTGACTACGCGGGGTGGTTGACATCTGTCGAAAGTTCCGTGCAAATCAAGCTTCTTGTGGTTTTGTCGCTTCTAGATCCGCAGCTTGGGCAAGTCGAGCGGAACATGAAGGTATGGCTGGTATTGGTGCTGGTATTGGTGCTGGTATTGGTGCTGGTGACGACATCTGGAGAGCTACGATGCTGACGAGCGGAGAAAAATAACTCGATTTCCTTGTGTCCAATTGCGTGACCACAGCTCGTGGATCAGATGGTTGCGTCACTGTCCAAGAGCGACAGCATCGACATCTTGATGCTGCCGGAGGTGCGCTACTATTGCCGAAAGAAATGGGGACGGATGCATGTGTCTTCTCACACCATTTTGGTATTCTTGGATGGGGCTGTTGAGGTCCTGGAAGATGGCGTTCACGGGGTACATGTTCCGAAACAAGGCTGAAGTGGCTGAAGTCGCGGAAGTTGCGGACGAAGGACAAACCTATCGCTGGTGTCAGCACCACGCGCGTCGGTTGCACTGCATGGTGACATGTGGGTACGTCGAGAAAGAAGGCGATCTGATGTACAACTCGATGCTGGTCATTAGTCCTGCGGGTGAACTCGTATGCAATCCACGCAAGACGTTCCTGTACGAGACAGACAAGTCGTGGGCTACGGCAGGAAAGGGCTTTTGTACGTGGCATTGTCCGTGGCTTGGTAAGACCATATCATTCGGAATCTGCATGGACATCAACCCGGATGACTTCAAAGCTCCGTTCTCGGCATATGAGTTTGGTACACATGTGGTTGAGAACCGAAGCGACTTGGTACTATTTGCGTGTGCCTGGAATGATTTTGAAGCACATGACATTGGGCCGGGTTCAACGCTCTCTTATTGGGCGCAGCGTCTGTCCCCGGTCATTGATGCGCTAGGGAAAGAAGAGTACGGCAAACAAAACTGCTATTTCCTGTGCTCCAACCGAATCGGTCTCGAGAACGGTACGTTCTTTTCTGGAGCGAGCTGCGTCCTCTCTCTCAAAGAGCCCGCTGTTATCGCGCACGCTGGACGTCGCACCGAGGAGCTGCTGCGCATCGAGGTTCCTGATGAAAGTGCTAATGTGCCAGTCGAATAGCCATCGCAGCCACATCCGTCCAACTGCTGAACAGATACGGGTGTTCACCGAGTACACCGACAGTGCGAACTGTGCGGGTCGCATGTCAGAGACACATTATGTGTGTGATGCTCTTGTATTTCACACTTTGGGGAATATGTGTGCAGGTGGGCAGCAGCACTGGTGAAGTCGAGATGGTCTGTGCAATCTTCAGTACTCGGGTTGGTTTCTGGGACGGTAATGCAGTATCGGAATATGCAACTTTCGAGTGTGAACCCAATGCGTCGATTCTTGGTGTTCGTCTGCAGAGAATGAGTGGTACTGCCGTGGCGAGACGACCACGTGGGGAACACTGGAAGTCCGTTCACGGGAGCAGATTTATCTTCTCGTCTTTTACGTGGCTAGGTCTTACTTCCCTACTAATGCTCATTTGCCGCATGTAATGGCTCCTGGTATGGTACACAAACATACGAAATGCTCACACTGAGCGGAGCCGCGATATCAAGGGCGTGCATCAGGTGGAGCTGCCTACGATACGACCGATGTTCCTCTGGTCTTACTTCCCTACTAATGCTCATTTGCCGCATGTAATGGCTCCTGGTATGGTACACAAACATACGAAATGCTCACACTGAGCGGAGCCGCGATATCAAGGGCGTGCATCAGGTGGAGCTGCCTACGATACGACCGATGTTCCTCTGGTCTTACTTCCCTACTAATGCTCATTTGCCGCATGTAATGGCTCCTGGTATGGTACACAAACATACGAAATGCTCACACTGAGCGGAGCCGCGATATCAAGGGCGTGCATCAGGTGGAGCTGCCTACGATACGACCGATGTTCCTCTTTCTGGCATTCAAACATCAGTGTGTACAACGACTAGACGAGCAACACCGAGCGCTTTCTTCTATAGCGTCTTGTGCGTAGATCAGGATTGCTGCAAATAATCAAGAAGTTCAGATCTTTTTGAAACAGTTGGAGTGGAAGCAGTTCCGTCTAGTTCGTCATGCCAACGAATCTCTCTCTCTTAATGACTGATGAATGGTATATTTGCAAGCTCAGCCCTGATCATATGGCTGGAAACTTGGTGCGCCTCGACATGCCACTAGCTGCGGCACAGCTGAGGTTGCATATGTTAACAGTGTAAGAAGAGGGAGTTAAGTAAAGTAAATGACTTGTATGTTACCGCGCACCAGACGCGTTTCGGCCCCCCGCCGGGGGCCTCATCAGTGGTTTGTCAATCTACAAGTGAGAACTATCCATACGTCTAGCTGCCGTACGACCTATAATAATGCATAGAACCCTAAAGAACATTCTAGACATACCCTATCATGGGTCGAATCTCTGGAGTCGAATCCAGTGCATCATGAACTTACAACACTCCCCCTCGACGACATGAGATGCAGACCACTTTGGTATCGACCCGCCTGTAATCCTCACTGCTGCATCCGTGCACCATGGGAATCTTGATTGAGTCTTGCCCCTGCGCTCCAGCCAACCTCGATGATACCGAGCGTTCCAGGTATTCCAGCTCCCCCATCGTCCGGCACCATGTCACATCTTGACATCTCGTAGTCGTCGTTCGCCTTGCATGTAGTTTCCACTTCTTCTTGACCACAAATACACTTGTCACCACTTGACTTGACTCTTCCTTCGATAGCACTCGCGCATTCAGACCATCTCGCGTCACCACCCTTGCACAAACCCTTTTCGACTGCACGCGCACCGTCAACGATCCCTGTCGATGAATTCTTCGGCGCCTTACTCGTGCATCGAGCGCCTTCTCTGACGGGGTGTCCCTCGCACAAGTTGGTCCTTGGTGAGGTGTCTGCAGCGAGCATTTGGGCTCATAACCTATTAGAATAGGAAGATGCCAATGCAAAATGTAGAAGTGTTATTGTCGTTACCAAGTTTCTACCATGCTTCCATCTCTTCGACACCAACCATTTTCGCCCTGATTTTACTACACCATCCCAGGATAGAAACTGCCATTCAACTGAAGTGGTCGGCCGACTGCCACGTTTTTGCAGCGACTACTGCTTCTTCAATAAACAGAAGCTTCGCTCTTCCTTAATCTGTAAGAGATCCGAATCGCTAAGAACTCAGAGAACAGGTTTACGTATTGTCAATTTGGCTCGCTGCAACTTCATGGAGTGGCTGCGATTTCTTAGATTTTCTATCTTAGCCGTCGCATTCATGGATTCGTTTTACAAAGCTGGCACGTAGGCGTAAATTGGCTGGGTTGAGCACGATAATACACACAAGTCGAAGCGTGACGTAGGTCGTGCTTTTGGTGGCAATTGGATGCATAACAACTTGATTGTGATGCTTCGAACAGAGCAGGAGGCCACAAAACTGGAGGCTAATCGTGTGTTGTCTACCTATGTCAGGAAGACATGCATCGACAGTGCTAG